CGGATGTGTATGCACGCACCCCTGGTGTTTTTAGGGGAGCAGAGACACTTCTTGTGTCACCTCTCTTTGTGCGTCCGTCTCCTGGGTGACCGCCCTGGAGAAGGTACTGTATCATTAGTACTATTTATTATTTATAGTATGGTAGTGCATACAGGCCCCATTGAGATCAGGGCCCCATTGTGCCAGGTGTGTACACACATAGTAAGAGGATGGTCCCAACCCCGAAGAGCTTGCCTAAGACAAAACATAAGGAAAGAGTGGGAGAAAGGAGGTGTGGAACTGAGGGATGGACAAATGAAGTGACTTGCCCAGGCTCACACAGAAATGAACCCAGGTGTCTCGAGTCCTAGGACTTGTCTTCATGACCACGTAGAGTGGCAAGCTGTGGCCTAAATCTACCCCATTCTAGCCCGATGTGCGCTAAATGCCCATGTGGACCCTGTTGCTGTGAAACAAGAGTAGATCCGAGTACACTAGAGAACTGGGCGATAGAGTCCACGTAGACAGGTAGGGTAGATTTATACCCCGGCTTGCCACAGACTAAATGTTTGTGTGGACAAGCCCCTTGTCTAATAACATGAACGTCCTTCCGCTCCACGGAACAGTTCTGCTTTGGCTGAGGAATGGATTAAGTGAGTGTAAAGGGTTTTTTTCCCTCCAGTATCTCTTATTTCCGATCCTGTGTCTGCAGGAATGTGCTCATCTCTCAGGCTTATGTTACACTAACGCCCGCTGCAGAGCCGAATGGTGCTCAGGTGTGTGTGAACCTCCCATTTGTTTTGGTGCACTAAACAAAATGGCGTCCGCCTCTTATAATCATTTGTTATAGTCTCGTTGCCAGAGTGACACCTTAATTAGTTTGGATTTATTTAGATTCAAATCAGTAAGATCCCCAAACCCACCACTCCAGGCACCCGGCCGCTTTGGCTAGAATCACAGTCCACAGCCAGCAGCACAACGCTCCTTGCACCAGCTCATGTAATGGAAAATAGGTGGTGGTCCGAGAGTCCGATGTCCGCTCTAACCTTGGTTACTAAAATGAGAGGGTGGTGAGTGGCTTTATCCGCACTAGCAATCTCCCCCTGTACTGTTCCCACCAGGCCTCCTGGTGATGGGCAATGGGGTGAGCACTAGCACAGTCAGTACTCCAGTGTTCAGTGGCCTTTTTCTCCCAGTGTTGTCCCGACCTGCCTGCGCCCGGTCTCCGTTGCTGTGTTCTCTCTTGTTGCCATCATTGGAGCTGCACTGGGATAATTAATTAGCAGGAGATTTCCCAAAAATGCAGACACTGCTGAAGCGTCTCAGTGATGCTTCCCCCCCCGCCCCCCAATCCTTCCCAGGGTGTTGCAAGGATTATTTAATGTGTCCAAAGTGCTTTGAAATCCTCAAATGAAGAGGTGTCGTATCAGGCCTTGTCTGCATGTGGAAGTTACGCCGGCTCCACTTAAATAGGTTTAAAAACCAATTTAGTTAAATCGGCGCAAGCCTAGTGTGGACAGATTTATATTGGGTTGGTACGTCCCTCTGCCTGTACTGATGCTAGAAAAGCCTGTGTAATCCAGGCTTAAATCGATCGGCGAGTGGTTCTGGACCAATTTAACTGTGTCCATTTAGAATCGCACCTTTAGTTAAACCAGTGCAACTTTTGTGTGTTGACCGGGCCAGAGTGTAAATGTATTATTATTATTAGTGATCCCAAGGAAAGCAGAACCTCCGATGCTGAGAAGAGTCCTACGCTCTGTTATAGTGATGTTCATTGTGTTTACATGGGTCTGCTCTCTCTGCCTGTCCCATACTCCCAGACTGTTTGTGCTTTGTCACTTGCGTTGCCTTCCACGTGTTACTGAGCATCTGGGACTCTTGGATCGGAAGCAGCCCGCTATAACTTGAGCTTCATTCATCAACATACATTCTGGTTATTGCCCTGCTGCATTATCTGGCTGGTGTTTAACCACAGCTGGGTTTAAAAAGCAATAGCTCAGTTTCCTATTTGCATAGAGGATTGTTTCAGACAAAAGCAGAAGGGATCCATCAGTTCCTCCTTAAGCAATCAAACAGCATCCGGGCAGATCACTGGCAAGAGTCTGCAGAGTATGATGAAAGAATTAGTCCTTTGCCACCGAAAATCCCTCGTGAATAGGTTTAGAACGAACAGCAATAATATACTTGTGGTGGTTAATTTTCTGTGCATTGAGAGATGCAAGGAAATTGTTGCTGTAGATACGCTTTAGCTGAGGTTTAATGGGGGAAATTAGCAGGGAATCGCTGGTATTACAGAGCTGCGCAACGCTGAGGAGTAAGAAAGCTTTCAAGCAAGGGGGATTTGCTTTTCAGAAAAACGGAGGGCTAAGCAGATTGAACCCAGTGAAAAGAAGGACACTGGCCAATTAATCACAATAGTTTCAATGAAGCTGTGTGTGTAAAATCAGGAGAAGGGGCTGGCATATCCGGGATTGGGGCTGGGCGGGTGAGTTCTGGCCCTTTCATAGTTGGAGGGGGAGAACACTGACGTTCTGAACCTTGCTTTGTCCTACGGTGGTGGCTGGACTCTTTTCAGGGCTTCTGCCTAGAGTGTGGTAGGGGAGGACGTGGGATAGGGAATGGATGTAGCAGGGGCGTGGGAGCTGTTTAATATTTGTACGGTGTAAGGTATTGTTTAAGTCAATGGCACTGAGAGGCTCTCTGTCTTCTATGTATTGGAGTTTCTTTGCCTGGCTTCCTATGCTCTTGTAACTCCTCCGTGGCTTTTTGGAATTTGCAGGATTTTCTGTCATTTACAAAAACCAAAACCAATCCATTGGGGGAGAGAATCATTTAAACAAACCTTAATGCAATAAATGAAGGGGGCTGTATGGTCTCTGTGATGTAGAAAGTGACATTGCAGGTGCCTTCTTGCAGTCCTGCTTCAAAGTGCCATGCTACTGACTGATGTTGCTGCTTTGGTGGTTTGCAAGGCCTTGTCTACACTCTGACAACTAGGGTCTCTAATTGTCCATTGGTGGATGGGCTAGTGTAGATAGGACTTAGGTGACCTTACCACTGTGTCCTCTAGACCTGCTCTGAGCAAGGTTATCGAAAGCCTGCGTCCTGCTGTGACACTTTCATGGAGCTCCCAGGAGTGCGGGTCACCTTGTTAAACCCCTCCTTCAGCGAGAGAGAGAGGTGCTGGTATTAAACTGGGGGATGGCTCCCTGTCTCCCCAGTCTGCTAGCTACCCCTGACAAACTTCTCAGAACTCTGCCAGCCTTTACTGTGCCTTGCAGGTAACACTTGGTGCACCCCAGTTCCAGAGCCCCCTGGAAGAGCGGTACCTTGCGGTATCCAGTCCCTGGATACACATTAATTACCAAGTCTGCTGCCTCCAAAGAGACACTGTACTCACCAGCTTTCTTGCTTCCACTAAGAATTCACACTTTGTGATAAAACAAAGAGAAGTTTATTTACAAAGATAGAGGTTCAAGTGACACTGAGTACGAGTAAAAACAATGAGGAGTCCTTGTGGCACCTTAGAGACGAACAAATTTATTTGGGCATAAGCTTTCGTGGGCTGTAAGGGTCTAGTCAACGAAAGCTTATGCCCAAATAAATTTGTTAGTCTCTAAGGTGCCACAAGGACTCCTCGTTGTTTTTGCCGATACAGACTAACACGGCTACCACTCTGAAACCTGAGTAAGAGTAGTAGAAACAGGTATGATTACAACTAAAGCAAAAGTTATAACATGCTTCTAAGAGACTAAACGTCGCTTTAGCAGGCTGCAATCTTTGTCTGTTACATCTCTCACCTAAAGCGACCTCTCAGCATCTCCAGTCCCCTGGGCCAGGATCCAGCTTTCCAGGATCCAAAATGCACTGTTTGTTTTGTTCCCTCCGTCATGGACCACCAAGGGTTCCCTTTCCTCTTCCTTATAGTCCAGTCAATCTTTGAAATGTATCCCTTTGCCGTGTACCCCTAGACAAAGTTCTTTTCTCCTGCTCTATGTTCTTTGGGGTGCTGATGCCAGATCGTCTTTCTCATTCTCCTTTTAACTTGCTTTTCCTTTTGAGTTAATATGCAAATGAAACTTGCTTTGTGTTGAGTTACACGTCTGATTTACATTGGAGAACGCAGCAGACGGGTAAATCGACATTCCGTTGTCTGGGAAAAAATCTGTTTATTTGCCCTGCCTGGTTACATAGTTTAAGTGTATTTTTAGTAAGTACATATTTCGTGAATAATATGCGTATACGCATCCCGCAATGCTTATGGTGGCCAGTAGGGGATAAGCTTTTGACCCTCTACGTGACATTGTTTATGGATAAATACTGTGACAACAATGTGTTAGGTGTAGTGAGTTTGTCAGGGCTGATAGGAGTTGCTGTTACATGACAGTAAACCCTTTGTCACTGGGCATTGAGAGGCTCCACAATAGCATTTCCACCATAGCTACCACCAGCCGGCCAGCACTCATAGTGGAAAGGTGGGGAAATTTCCCCAAAGCTGCTGGATGCGCAATTCTTGTTAATTTACAATGGGAACTGGGTGTCCAAATCCCCTAGGCAGATGGGAAAATCCCATCCTTCGTGGGTAACTTATTGTCCCCGGATAGTTGTGCTCAGATAGGAGTAACGTGGTGCATCTGCATTTTGCTGCCCTTCTGCTCAGGGATGGATTTGACTACTAATGCTGGGTTTAAGTGGTGTGTAGGGTACTGAGCAGCCCTTCTGGCCTGGGGACACTGTGGGGCTGAACATCCGGGGAGCTGAGCGGCTGCAGCCATCATTGATTTTTTGCTGGAATTGCGGGCGCTCCGAGCTTTTGAAAACCAGGCCCTTGTTGTTTTAAAGCGGAGTCATTTGGGAGCTCGCTGCAGAATGCTTGACAACCAAAACAGCCAGTGACCTTGAATCCCCAGTGCACGTCATGGTCCATTGAGGGCGATGGGGGAACCACAGTGACCAAAACCCTCCCCTTCCTCCAGGCACTTCCACTTTCTCTTCCTTTCTTTTTTCTTTTCCTGCAGGAGGTCAGCAGAGGAAAGAGCAGGATGCAGACTTCCAGAAGAAGGCAAAGGACTGTGGCCGGAGCATCCCGAGGGTCTCCCCGCATCAAGGATCAGACGTTTACCTACTCAGGAAGATGGTAGAGGAAGTGTTTGATGTGCTTTATAGTAAGAATCTTCACAATTCCATTTGGGTTGTTTTTGAAGGGACTGGTCTCACCAACGGCTGAAGGCCTGTTATCACCCTGACACGCTGAGAAACTGGGCCTGTATGTACTTGTGGCTACATCTTTCCACCCTGCTCTGATCTAGCCATTGCATCGTGCTCCCTCTTGGCCTCGATTCAGCACAGCACTTAGCACATGCTTCGCTTTAACTTTAAGCACATGCTTAAGTCCGTCCTTGTTTAGCAGATCACTAACTAATCCCTTTAGAAATCTGCCCCTGTAAGCACTTGCTTAAGTCCAATTGACTTAAGTGCTGGGATGAGTAGGGATAGATTTAAACATGTGCTTGGGTGCTTTACTGAAGCTGGTTCTCAGAGCCCAATCCTGCACCCCACTGAAGTCAGTGGCCCTTTTGTCACTGGGTGAGTGCAGGATCAGGCCCTTAAGAGATTATGAAGGGAACTTTATAGCCTTATAGACACGGAGTGTACATCATGTTGACTCCATTGAAATCAATGGGCCTAACTGTTAACGTTTTCCTGTGCAGAAAGGCCCTAGAAGAGACTATTCCACGGCTCGTTAGCTAAATGTGCCAATGAATAAATTAGTGTGTGTGTGTGGGGAGACGTCCTTAGAAATTCTGTCCCTGCAGCATTCTCAGACCAATGCTGTGCTCCCAGCAGATTTTTAAAATGTGGTCTTTATCCCTAATGTGGCTTTTAAGGTGGTTTTAGTGCCAAATTTGACTTTTGAAGGAAAAAGATGATTTTCCTAAGAGCCCTGCAACCTGAGCTCCGAGACGCAAGCTAGTTTCATTCCAGCTCATACATCTTCCCCGGTAATAAAGATGCCGCAGTTAAAATGTAGCTGACCACAGTGTTGCTGATGTAACCCACCGATGACTGTGTGTGTGAGAGGTCTCTCGCTGTGCCTGATCCGCGGAGCATAGGAGTTGTTACAGCCCTAGCTAGGGAGCTTTAGCTCACGCTGTAGCTGTATAGGCATTTAGCTCTGGAGGTCTCGGGTTCAAATCCTAGTGTTGGTCAAGATGGTGGCAGTTGCACATGCACAAAACCAGACAGGCTTCCGGCTCACCTTTCTATAATCCGGGCTGGACCAACAGTAGTGAGAACACATTTGTGTTAGCAAAATGAGAATGCACCCCAAGATATTCCAGCAGAGTGAAATTTGCCCCTTGCCAAGAGCCAATGCAAGGGCTTACGCCACTTTCGTCCCACTTAAATCCTCAGTCAGGTTGAAATAGTGCCTAGACAGTGTGTTGGCCTTCTGCACAGTGGCAAATTAGACCCACTGAGAAATAGTTGTCTTCCTGGTGTAGTCTCAGATTCGAAAGTTCTGGCCCCATAGACAGCCACGGCCCAAGCAGGGTTAAATGGAAGTTGGTTGCTGCACAGGGGATTACAAATATTGCCCAAGTATATATTGGAAACTGGTCCCAACTCAGCTGAGAGTTTGCAGGGGAGTCCACTAAGTCTTGGAAGAGCAACGATAATCCCTAATCCACTGACTCACTTTGTGTCACTTCACATGCCTTTGAATGCTTGTTTTACAAAGAAAATGCATTGCTTGCCTGAAGATGAACAGGGGACTGAATCTCAGCCCTTAACAGTGAAGGTCAGATTTGTTGTTGTGTTTATAACTTGGCATTTCGATGGTGGTTTTGCAGTCCGTTATCTAGAATCAGTTCAGGCTTGTTATTATTTGTTACTGTGTAGCACCCAGAGAGTGCTAAGTGCTTTGTAGCCAAGTAAAGAGACCAGTTACCTGGGTTCTGCCACTCGTCTGCTGGGGTGACCTTGGGCAAGTCATTTTATTGCTCTGTGCCCTATCATTAGAAGTCAAGGTTTTAGAAATCATTTAATGGATTTGGATACCACGTCCCATTACAATGGGTGTTCAGATCCTCTCCACGGCTTTCAGATCGCAGCCCAAATGGACACTGTAGGGAAGGGCAAGTGAACGAGCAGTGAAAGTCAGCACTCGCCTTGTTAGATCCCCAGGTGAGAGAGGGGGAGGGGAAGAGGGAGAATATGAATGTACATAATAAAACATACCTGTTTGAGGGTCAGTTTGGAGGAAATGTTTTACGTTTTCAATCCAGCACCCATGATGGTGCATGGACACATTTTTTAAGACTTAATGGGGACTGGAGTATGGCCTAGTGGGAAGGGCACTAGACTGGCATTCTAGAGACCTGGCTTCTGTTCCTGCCACCAGTCTGTTGGTTTGACCTTGGACAAGTCATTTCATTGCTCTGTACCTCAGTTTTACGATCTGTAGAAATGGGATCGTGATAGTCACCTCCTTGTGTGAAGTGCGTAGAGATCTACTGGTGCAAAGCACTGTTAGAGCTAGCTGCTATTATTAGTATTTATTTATTATTTTATTTATTAGTGTCTAGGGCAATGGAAGGAAGACTTGGGTTTGATTCCTGGCTCGGTCACTGACCTGCCGTGTCACTTGAGCAAGTCACTTCCCCTCTCTGTGCCTGTTCCCCCCCCCCTCCTCCGCCCCACCTTTTGCCTGTCTTGTTTCTTTAGATTGCAAGATCTTTGGGGCAGGGACTGTCCCTTGCCATGTGGTTGTACAGCGCTTAGCACAATGAGGTGCCAATTTTAATTGGGGTCTCTACGTGCTACCCTACTGCAAATAATGTTTGGCTGACTGTTTAGAAGTGGGGTGCATCAGTAATTTACAATGTCTTCAGTGGCAACGAGGGCTGTTCTGAAAATCAAGCTGCAGATTTTTGTGTGCATCTCTGGTGCGCAGCTGTCTGTCTGCTAATCTTCGTGCCCCCTGTGAATGTCCCTTTCTTCAGACTATAACCGGGGTGTGTCCAGTTCCATATTGACTACAGCAAACTATGCTGAAGATGGATGCAGAACCTGGCTCTGTATCCTATATCTAGAGGTCTGTTTGAAATTAACAATTCTCTTTCTTCCATTTTTATCCTTTAACGAAAGTTGCCTCCTATCAATGAGGATGAAAAATAACAGAAAACGCTCGCTCAAAAGAATCCCAAATTCCCTCTGGAGCCCAGTAATCTCTTCACCAACAGAATGACTGATTACCATGGAGTTCTATTAATCAGACATTAATGATTATTATTGTCTCTCTTTAGTTAAAGCGTGAGCCTCTGCTGGGTTTGCTGAAGGTCACTTTGAAGGTAGCACATTCCCCACGAAAACTTGTCTAGGCACCTGCAAGCATCTAGCCAATAATTGGTTGCTATCAACATTATTTGCTTCTTTCTTCCTGTCCTGGGGAAGGAGAGGGGGCGATATGGGGAAGTGAAAATCTGCTGCAGCCAGTGCACTGAGGCAAGGAATCAATTAGTACTTTTCAAGCGAGCAGAGAGTGTGCTCACAATGTTGTGGTTCAAAGGTTTGTTTTGAAACTTCTGTTATGGAGTTAATTAAAATGTTATCCATCCAAGCTATAAGGAACACTGATTGCTTGAGCAAGTCACACATCATTAGTTGTGTTCTTTGAAGCAATGCTCTGTGTTGAAGAAATTACTTTTAATAAGGACTCGTTGACAGTGCCACGAGGTTTCCAGGATTTTGTAAAATCAGCTACAGGTTAAAAAATGATTTAAATGAAATAGATCACATAAAATCCCGCAACTAATTACAGACCTCTAAATCAGGGTTTCCCCTGCGCCAGTGCAGTGACATGGATCGAAATACCACAAAGAAGAATGATGAACGAATGTACTGTGGGCTTTACAGCCAGATGTGCTGCACTTTTACATGCATCTGGAAGCTGAGTCACTGAGTAATTCATGGTTTCAGAGTAGCAGCTGTGTTTTCTCTGTATCCACAAAAAGAACAGGAGTACTTGTGGCACCTTAGAGACTAACAAATTTATTTGAGCATAAGCTTTCATGGGCTAAAACCCACTTCATCAGATGCATAGAATGGGACATTTAGTAAGAAATATATATACACATACAGATAACATGAAAAGGTGGAAGTAGCCATACCAACTGTAAGAGGCTAATTAATTCAGATGAGTTATAATCAGCAGGAGAAAAAAAACTTTTGTAGTGATAATCAAGATGGCCCATTTTAGACTGTTGACAAGAAGGTGTGAGGATACTTAACATGGGGAAATAGATTCAATATGTGTAATGACCCAGCCACTCTGACCGCTATGCTTACCTACATGCTTCCAGCTTCCATCCAGGACACACCACACGATCCATTGTCTACAGCCAAGCTCTAAGATACAAAGGCATTTGCTCCAATCCCTCAGACAGAGACAAACACCTACAAGATCTCTATCAAGCATTCTTAAAACTACAATACCCACCTGCTGAAGTGAAGAAACAGATTGACAGAGGCAGAAGAGTACCCAGAAGTCACCTACCACAGGACAGGCCCAACAAAGGAAATAACAGAACGCCACTAGCCATCACCTTCAGCCCCCAACTAAAACCTCTCCAGCGCATCATCAAAGATCTACAACCTATCCTGAAAGATGATCCCTCACTCTCACCGATCTTGGGAGACAGGCCAGTCCTGGCTTACAGATAGCTCCCCAACCTGAAGCAAATACTCAGTCTCTAAGGTGCCACAAGTACTCCTGATCTTGAGTAATTTATGTCCTTGCGCTGCTGTTTTTTCCTCTCCTGCCTCCTGCAACGAGTGCCTGATCTATTGGTGTCTGTGGTTCGGGTCAGGCTCAGAATTTAATTTTTTCAGGAGAGAGGGGCTCAAGGTTTTTGAGAAGTGTTTAGTGATTTTGGGTGCCTCCATTTTATGTCTGCCCAGCTTGAGACACCTTTAGAGGCTCCTGGTTTCCAGACAGTGCTGAGCTCTCATCCTTTGAAATCAGGCCCCTGGAAGGCATCTCAGATTAGGCACCTAGACTCGCTCGTCATTTTTGAACATCTTGGTCAAGTTGCCTACGTTCTCCCTGGTTCTCAGCCTTTCCAGACTACTGGTACCCCTTTCAGGAGTCTGATTGGTCTTGGGTACCCCCAAGGTACATATCACTTAAAATCTACTTGCTTACAAAATCAGACATTTAAAATACAAGTGTGTCACAGCACACTAGTACTGAAAAATTGCTCACTTTCTCATTTTACCATATATTATCAAATAAATCAATTGGAATATAAATATTGAACTTGCATTTCAGTGTATAGTATATAGAGCAGTATAAACAAGTCATTGTCTGTATGCAATTTTAGTTTGTACCGACTTCGCTTGTGCTTTTTATGGAGCCTGTTGTAAAACTAAGCAAATACCTAGATGAGTTGATGTACCCCCCGGAAGACGTTGGTGCCCCCAGGGGTATGCGTACCCCTGGCTGAGTATCTCTGGCCTAAGGTGACCTTTGTGACAATGGTCGTTTTCCACTGCCAGAGAAAGAGGAGCAATTTGTTCCCTGCTTCCCACTGAGATATTGCGGGAAGAGGTGCAGGGATATTTTTGTGCAATTCTCTTATTTTGACATTGGCTATTGAAGCAGGAGTAGTGTTGTGGGTAAAGCCATGGGACCAGGATATACAGGTTCCATGTTCACTGCTAATTTGCAAGTCAACGAACCCTTCTGGGCTTACCTGTAAAATGGGGATCATGGTATTTCCTTATGTCACAAGCAGTATTGTGAGGCTCAGTGCATTGACATTTGTAAAACATATTAAGATTGTTGCAAGAAAGGGGTTACTTGTTCATTTTGATTTTTTTTTTTTTTAAATGAGAAACTAAGACACAAAATGGCGCTAGGCAAAAGAGTCACTTTCCTTTTTCAGGCAGGTGAAGTATGAATAAACATTGAGCCAAAAAGTAATGCTGGGAGTACTTTAATGAATATGCAAATGAAAATAAGTTATTAGCTCTCCTTCCTCACTAAGTAGACGATCTACAGTTTTCTTCATCATTCTCTTGTTTCCCAATGTATGTAAAGAACCTCTTCTCACTGCTTTTTATGTCCCTTCCTAGGTGTAACTCATTTTGTGCCTTAGCCTTTCTGATTTTGTCCTTACATACTTGTGCTCTTCTTTTGTACGCCTCCTTAGCAATTTGTCCGTGTTTCCACTTTTTGATGGAGTCTTCCTATCTTTCCTTCTCATTGGAGTAGTTGGCAGTTGTGCCTTTAATATTGTGTCCTTGACCAGTAGCGTAGCTAGCGGGGTGCAGAGGAAGCAGCCGCTTCCCCTCAGCAAATTTGCCAAAAGCGGCGCCTTTCCAAAGGCGGCCGGAGGAGCGAGGGGGGGTGCAGGCTGGCCGCCCGCAGCGCAGCCATAGTGGGGCGGCGGGCGCGTGGCCGGAGGAGCGTGGGGGGGGGGGGGCAGCTTAACATAACCCTCACACTGCCAAGCTGACCTGGGGGGAAATTCTGTCCCGACCCCAGATCTTGGGATTAGATGGACTCTGAGCATGTGTGCAAGCCTCATCAGCCAGGCATCTGTACTAGCTACTGATGAGACCCTTGCGCTGTTCTGCTGCCCACACCACAAAGCCAACGGTTGCTCCAGCCTGGAGCGCAGCATGTGGCCCGCAGTGCGGCCAACTGCCGCGGCCGGAGGAGCGCGGAGGGGGTGGGGCGCAGGCTGGCGGCTGGCAGCCGCAGGGGGACGGCGGGCACGGCCGGAGGAGCGGGGGGGGGGGGCAGCAGGTCGGCCGGGGGGGCCAGGGGGGGGGGGGGGGGGGGGCGGAGGGGCGGGAGGAAGAGCCAGGGGGGGGGCGTGGCCAGAAGAGGAGCCAAGGAGGGGTGCCTTTTTTATGTTTGCTCCCCCTCCTCTTAGAAGCTGGCTACGCCACTGTCCTTGACTAACTGCCAGCTCTCCTGAGCTCCTCCCTTATTTTCTTCCCATGGGACCTTACCTACCAGTTCACTAAGTTTGTTAGTCTGCTTTTTTTGAAGTGCCTTGTCCTTATTCTGCTGCTCTCACTCCTTCCTTTCCTTACCATCATGAAATCATCATTTCATGATAGCTTTCACCCAAATTGCCTTCCGCCTTCAGATTCAGAACCAGTTGCTCGTAATGAAGTCTGAAGTAGGTGTCCCCTTGTTCCTTCGTCCGTTTTCTGAAACAAAAAGTTGTCCTCAATACATTCCAAGAATTTTTGTGTTTTGCTACATCACTGTTCCTGCTCCTCTTCATTGGGGTTTTGAGAGACTTTATTAATTAATGTTTGTGAAGTGGCTGAAGAGCCATAGATAATGGCCACGTTTTGTTATAACAATATTATGGGTGGGAAGAATTATCCTGACCAGTTCGCAATGGTGTCCGCAGTCTCAGTCCTGCTCCGCATCTCTCTGCTAAAGCCCCGACCAGCTGCAATTGTGAGCAAATTCCAGCTGGAAAAGCCAGTGACTTTATCCAACGTGTAATTGTGCCCGTTTCCCAGGTGAAGCCATAGGGAAGAACAGCGTGGTGCCCTTGCCCTATGAGAAGCTGATGAAAGAGCCAGGATTGCTCGCAGTTGCCGGCTTGCCTGAGGGACTTGGCTTCCGGAAGCCCACGGAATACGATGTGAAATCCCTGATGGCGATTTTGGAGCACAGCCACAGTATCCGGTTCAGGCTAAAAAGGTAACTTCATAAATCCTGAGAGGGTGGGAGCAGGGAGTCTTCACTTCTTGTCCACACTGAGCCAAGTCCAGGGAAGGACCCTCCCCTTTGAGTTCAGCGAGCTCTGAACCAGGCCTCTGAAGGGTTTTGTGTGGCAACTGCATCACGTGAGGGGGGACGCTGCAGAGCATGGTGCCGTTTGTCTCATTACACACGGGCTTGGCTGCTTTATGGGGCTCTCTGACAGCCACATAAAAAGCTGCCCTGGCTGAGTTAATTAACAGCTCGACGCCACCGCTAATAATCACGTGCTGCCGTTTTCCACTCGTCTGCGAGGTGCAGATGTTCATTAAATACGGTGTGCTGCTCCCAGCACAGGTTTCTCATGTGAACCTTGAAATGTAGGTGCAGCCATGTTAAATCATGGCGTACAAAGACTCGGCGCGTGTGTGAGAGACTAATTTATCACGGTCTGGGGGGCCGTGGGATCTTTCCTTCATTATTGAAAGTGAAAACAATAAGTGTTCCTAAACGTACAAGGTTTAATGACCTCCTTCTACGTGTCATTACATAGGAATTGTATGTATGATGAGCAGGATGCTCTTACCTCACCAAAGGGAGTTCCAGTGTAAACCTCCTAAACCTCTTTTCCAGTCTAGAGAGAGTATTATACTGTGCTAGGTGGTTAAGATTTTTGCATGAAGGGGTGCTATAGGGGCTAGGCACCATTCATGCTATTATAGCCACATTTCCAAAAGTGTCCTCTAATTTCGGTCGTGTTAATTTTTGGCCCTGCCAAACTTGAGGCACGTTGGGCCTGATTTTAACAAGTGCCCAGCGCCTACAGTTTCCAATTTGAAACGAGTTAGACCTGGGGGTGCTCAGCACCTCTGAAATCGCTCGGTATGTCCAGTTGGGCATGTAAAATCAGAGGCCACTTTTGGAAATGGGCAGTTCTCTTCTGAAGCGTGTGTAGTTACTTGAGGTAAAATTCACCACGTTCGGATGGTCAGTACAAGGTCTTATGCACCACCTGAGTTCGCCTGAAGCCTTATTTTGAGTAGAACCTAAGTGGTGCTTTATCCTTTACCGTGCATGACGGTGAATTCTATCCATAGTTTCACCCCTAAAGGTTGCACTGAGCTGTCTAATTCCTCTCCCCCGCTTGGGATATGGAACTAGGCCAGTTTTCACCACTTGTGGATCTGGCTCATAAAACGTATTGTAAAGACTGACGTACCCTTCTGAAGAGAGAAGGGGAAAGAGAAGAAAATAGGGAGTTAGCAGAGGGAGAAGTTGGGGCAGGTTTACAACTCCTTTGACAGCTGCCGTAGAGTGGAAATGATAAGCAGAGAAGAAGCTGGGCCAGTCATTAGAGCAGAGTGGAGATTGTACTTTCCACTCTGCTGTCTTGAAATGATGGTTTGGAAGCTGTCCTCTCCCTTTCCTCCCCATTGCTTTTTAGCTTGTTCTCCCGATGCGCGCCATTAAGACATGTAACATGGACAGCTTGGGCACAAGCCCACTCGTGCAGCTTTAAAGCTGTTGCAAACCGCTTTCCCCCCTTGGGTATATGAGCAAAACCTTTCTTCCTTGCTCCAGGAACCCTTGTGCCCCTGACCTATAGGGCTGATTCAGCAGACATTTAATATCAAATGAGACTGAGATTGCATGCAGTGTTGCTGAGCCAAGGGGTGGTTCTTGTTGCTGATGTTGTTAGCTGTACGCAGGCTGTAGCGCGCAGTTCCTATGTCAGATGCCATACGATGGATCTTGAAAGTACCTGTGTTTTCCTCTTCTTTCTTTTTTCCCATTCAGGCCAGCAGACGAGCCCAGCAGAGAGGCGAACCCTAATGTAGAGTTGAATTGTACCTCTCTAGCATCCAAGGGCAGCCGGGATTCCGGTCCAAATAACCAGATCACTAAACCAGCCAGTCAAGACACTCCATCCACTGTAGCCATGACCAATTTCTTATACGGTGTCTCGCTGCCTACGCAGATCGCCACGGACCTAAAGCAGGAGATGTCTGCCAGTCTGCACGGGGTGAATGCAGCCAGCGAGATGCTGATGCCCAGGCCCTCAGGAGAGCTGAAGGTGCCTTCCTCACAGGAGTACAGCGACTGCTGTGGTAATAGCCTTGTGTTTGCTCTCAAAGGAGGGCCTGGCCTAAAGCCCATTGAAGTCGATGGAGAGGCTCTCATTGACTTTGGTGGGCTTTGGGTCGGGCCCAAGATCTGTCTCAGAGAGACAAGGAGTAGTGTTGGGTGTTAACACAGTTACTTCAGGTTCCTCTAGGCCTGCCTCAGGTGGTCCATAGAATTTCACTGCACTCCCTGTCACCTTTAGGTATGTTTTAGCCTCGGGAGTGGGGAACCATTTGTGTCGTGCCAGCGCCTTTAGTTTAGAGCGTCTGGTGGATCGTCGGCGTATAACTGAGGAAAAGTCGTTCACTCGGGGGGAGGAGGTGATCCAAAGGCCATCGTTGCCAATGGAAAGGCTCCAGTTGATCTCCGGGGACTTTGGATCGGCTAGCCACTTGCTAGCTGCTCATTCTGAAATCCTCAGCACCACAAAACGCTTTCAACGGGGGCCATTGTGGCTTTCTAATGACAGCCCACTATATTCCTGTGGGTGTAGGGCGGCGGGATCAGAATCTGGATTTGGGCCTCACCCTCATTCCCTGGGACAACATAGACTTGCTGTGTCCCGCCTCCCCATGCACTCCCCTGTGTGGATCTAGAGTTGTACAATCCTCTCTGAGATGGGGCTTCTCTGCAACCGCTCCGGTGATCTGCCCCCTCCTAAGGCGCAGACCCCAGCCATTTCAGGAAGCAGAGCAGCGCGTGTGTGTGTGTACTACAGACAGAACTAACGAACAACATGTGGGGTTTTTTCCCTTTAAAATAACTGGTGCAGAGCCTTATGTACCTGAGATGGGGGAGAGCCCAGTTCTGAGGGGTCAGAGATTCAGCGGAGGGTTTTGAAGGGAATTCAAGGGCTCTTTTTCCTTTTGCGTGGCTCTGTATTGAAAAGCTCTGAATGTGACTCTGTGGGCTTGCCGTAGAGTAGTAGCAATGTAGTGTACATGGGCCCCCAATGGCTTTTTTTAATCCCTGTGTCTTCTAGGCCTGCTCTGATCAGGGTCAGGTGACATGATGGCTGCAGCACCAGCGGCCAGTCTATACCAGATCACCCCTCCTCTTGCTGCCACAAGCGGAAAGGGTCCCCCTGCATTTCGGGATTATACACATCCCTACAGCTCACCCCCAGTCCCTCCCTCGCTCGCTCAGGGATGAATATTGCCCAGAGAAGGGTTCAGTGACTGGCCCAACGCCACGCAACAAGTCCGTGCCCAAGCTGGGAATAGAATGCAGGAGCCCCTGTTTCCCGGTCCTGTGCTGAGTCTGGCAGAGTCTAGGCCGTGGTTACCCTTCTGTGCCCGCTGGGGTGGGCCTCTTGCCCCTGCTTGTATTAGGTGATCGGGCTCTTATAGTTCCTTTCACCTTGTATTTCCTTGTGTCCAGGACAGAAATCTGCAGTCCCTGGTGGTCCGCTCATCCAGAATGTGCATTCGTCAAAGCGTATCCTCTTCTCCATCGTCCATGACAAAACAGGTGTGACGCTCGCTGGGTCCGGGTGGGGGGGGGGCACTGCCAGAAAGAGACAAGGGAAGGGAATGGCTTCTGGCAAAAATCCCAGCCCCTGGCCGCTTCTGCTGTTGCCCCACTGCTCAGCATGGCTGCCGAAGTATTCGGCTCGCGGTGGTCGGTGCCATGCTCAATGCTCTGTCCGTCCCCAAATGCTTCTGGCTCATCCTCCACGAGGAGCTGCCGGGACCTTTGTCCCCTTCTGCCTCCTGAAGCTGGCTCCATAGAGAGCGAGGGCTCTGCACCCCCTTTAACACAACTTGGTCCTAGCACCATTGAGCTTAGTTGCAGTGTGTCAGCGTAGCAGCTGGAACCTCTCTCTGTATCTGTCTGTACCCACACCTCCCTCCCTGCCTCCTCACCATAGTACCTGAGTGCTGCAGAGTCAGGAATTCCTCAGAGCGCACCCTGTGAAGTGGGGAGACAGGCTGCCCATGTTATAAATGGGGAATTGAGGCACAGTGTAGATTAAATAACGTGCCCAAAGGCTGTGGCTGACCATCCTTCCTGCTCTGCCTGGCTTTGCAAACAGAAAGGACAGACTGAAATCCCCAGGTGGTTTCCAAATAATTAAAACACAACAGTTCTGTGGCTCTCTCTAACGTGCCCCTGGTGTGCTGGGCAATTTCCAAATGCAGAGGAAGATCCCATCCCTGGCCTGGGTATCATGCAGTGTAACGAACAATTAGGCATTCACTCTTCTAGATTTTCAATAGGTGGAGTGGGGTAAGGGGAAGTTAATACAAGATTTTAAAACTTCTTGTAATGATTTTTAAAGGTTGGCTTATGGTTGGGCGTGTTCTGTTCTGAAGGTTCTTTCATTTGAATGTTGGAAATGTAGAGTCATTTCCTTAGAGGTCCTTTTCACGCATGTGCAGCTGCAGAGGAGTACCCCGCAGGATGATGGGAGAAGCCTAGACCTTATCAACCAAGCTGGTAGCACTTGCTCAGGAAGGGGAAATAACTGTTTATAAGGCAGCCAAGCCTTGTTCCCGATTCCTAACACCTCGCAAGCGAAAAGTGCATCTGCTGTCTGTGTGCCATATGGAAGTTCCTTATTTCGTATATTTTGTTTTGATAGATAAATGGGACAGTTTTATAAAAGAAACTGAAGATATCAACACCCTTAGGGAGTGCGTGCAAATTCTGTTTAACAGTAGATATGGTGAGTAGGAGTTAAAATTCCATTATGCATCTGCAGTGCTTGTGGTTTGCATAACATTATGTAGCAATCATTTTTGTTCCCTAACACAGCAGCAGAAGCCATATGCTAAACTCCCTTCTCTTTTTAACACTCCTCGCATGGCAGCTCCGAGGCTCATGGCTTCTATTTAAGGTTATGTCAATATTTCCATTCCGAATCTCCCATATCGAAGAATTTATAGCTTAGCTGCGAAGTGCCCCAGTCTGAAACTTAATGCACAGGTTCTCAGCTTGAAAGCATGTCTTATGTACCTTCAGTAAAGTTTGAGGAGGAACAACTGAACCAAGACTATTGGAAAATGAACGTAGTGCAAAAATAAAGATACTGGTTATTCCAGCTGCTTTTAACATCCTTGGAGCTCATAAATGGCTTTGTTTTGTGGTGTTAAATTATGAATCCCCCTTTTTAAATAAACCCATAGGTTTATTTTCCTTAATCTTCTAGCCAGGCGAGCATCTGTAAGCAAACTAAATCAGTCATGAATGGAATAGATTCAATGGCCTCAGTTCATGAAGAACGAGTGTGCTTTCTGTGGTCCTTTCTATTGAAGAACAGGGTTATTGTAGTTATACCCTATTGTACCGTGGGCTTGTCAGATCTCACAAGCTAAGCAGGCTTGGGCTTGGTCAGTACTGAAGTGGGTGACCTCCAGAGAAAAGCTGGCTGTGATAGCGGTAGTGCTGAAGCTTGCGTGAGGCATCTCTGATTTCTGTATCTTGATCTAAGTTGTCACAGGGTCCACCCAGCTCTATATGTTCCATTATAAGACTGCACAGGTTTTTCCTGGGTGGTGGTGTTTGCTGTTTCAAGGTACCTCTGTACGTCACCTGATTTGAGTAGCGTGAGATGTACCTCAGCATTTTTTAAATTTAGTTTAGATTTTGTTTGTCCTTTGCTTTATTTCTCTATTTAACTTCTCACTTAGGGGTAACTTTTGGCAGTGACGAGGGATAAGTTTAAGCTTGGAGCCCGGGGCTCTGTTGCTGGAAAAAGGAGGATAGTAGGACAGCAGACATGTACCTGTTTTGTAGATCTACTTGAATTTGTTGAATTACGTTGTCTTCACCTTCTCTTTGTCTTCTCTAAAAAAACAAAAAAATCCAGTTGGAAATTAAAGCCATCTGTTAACCTTTCAGCTGAAGCTTTGGGTTTGGACCACATGGTTCCCGTGCCATACCGGAAGATTGCCTGCGACCCAGAGGCAGTAGAAATAATTGGGATCCCTGACAAAATACCCTTCAAACGACCCTGTACCTATGGTGTCCCCAAGCTCAAACGAATCCTGGAGGAAAGGCACAACATCCACTTTGTCATTAAAAGGTACACAGCTAATCAGAGATATTTCAAAGCGGTGACATGGATGACATTTTAGTCTACCTGTTTTGTGTGAGCGTGTAGGTAGTGTTCTGTTCTAAATTTAGTTCCTAAATAGTAACCAGAAAATTGTATTCTGTTGGTTTTTTTTTTTTTAATTACATAATGGCAGCAAATATTGGATCACTTTTTCTATTCGCCCACTCTGTGTTTGAAACAAACTTCCACGCAGAGGAATGTTTCCACTGGAGGCAGAGAGATGGGTTCCCCTGGAATCAGTTTGGGAATGAAAGAGTAGTAAGGACATGGGGCAGATTCAACACCTGGGAAAAGATTTTTCCAGTATGGTTTTACAGAGGGGGGTGGTGGTGGTGGTGGTTGTGGTTGTTGTTTTTTTTAACTAACTGTGATGGTTAATAGACCTAAAACTTGACTTACCACATGCTATGTAAATAATTACTTTGTTTTTTGCAAACAGAAATGTGGATTTTGATATCTTCCCCCCCCCCCCCAATTCACTGTTTTTTCCAGCGCTCTCAATATTTTTTTGCTTTTAACAAAAACCAAATCAATCCCAGTTGCCCAGTATTTATAATCATCCCTACAATAACAAACCACGAATGTTATGTCACAAATGCTTGTGACAATGGCTCTAGATTAGCTTAAACCTTTCAAGAGTTTTATCTGCCTGCACATTAAGTAGGCTGTCAAAATGACACATGACAAATTCAAATTGTGCTAGCTGAGTGCATATTGAGATATATATGGTAATTTCCCCCCTACTTATTTGCCTGATAACCGCAGGTATGTTGTGTTTTTTATAGTGGTTTCTACTTTTTGCACTAGAATAGGAATAAGGTGGAAAGTTGCACAATTATTTCATCATTTTCAGTGTATATAATCCCTCCTCATCTCTCCAGCAGGGACACCAACGTTTCCTATCTAGCTCGGTCAGCTGATCACCATAGTACTCAGCACCTCGGAATCATGATGTGTATCACGCCCGTGGGGCAGGGCAGTGCTGTTATCCCCATTGTACATGTGGGGAACTGAGGCGCAGAGGGATTTGCCCAAGGTTTATGGTGGAGCAAGTTTCAGGCTGGTGCCCTAACAATCTTTCCTCTCCTCATCATTTTGTGAGGTTCCCTCCCCAATGTGCCTTTTTTTGTTTCCCCCTTCTTGGGCTCATCTGAAACAGAGAAAATTCTTAACATAATTTTCATCCTTACTCAGAGCTGCTGGTTTCTGTAGTCAACAAAAGCTCCCTTTATTGGGGGGAGGGAGACAAAAACCACACCTTTAATTACAAGTTCTTTTGAGGAAACTCAATAATTCCCTTAGTAAAGCCTTTGCTAGCACCTACAAAATGCAGTGTTGTTAGATTAGTGTTCTTTATTGTGTCCAAAGGCACCTATCAGGGCTGGAATCCCTTGGTGCTAGGGCTATAAAAACATCAAAGAAATAGGACCTCAGTGCCAGATCTGAATTTCTAGACGCCTACTGCCACTCAATTTCCAGCTGAAAAATCAGTGAATCCAGTCATGAATTCTCCACTTTTCCTTTAATCAACTGGTACGATGACTCCTGTTTATTTCATGTCACGGGAAATTGTTCTTATGTAGGATGAGGGGCTGTAGATGAGGCAAGATTAGTCCTTTTTTGAGAGAGGCCTTGTGCCAACCCCTCTAGAAAAATCCACATCTGAATTATGCAGCTTGGACTCCTCCCCAGTTCTTTTGCAGTGCACATAGCAATAGTTTATTAATCTCGTGGCCCATTGTGATTCCTTTAGAAAATAGATACACTTCAGTGCACTGGCTCTCCCCCAATCAATAGACGCAGTGAATAATGACACCCCAGTTTAAAGCAGTATGTCCACTCGTTTGTCACTAGACCTGTGCTGAAGATAGAGGTTCTGTTTCACTACGGATTTTTAGATTCCAAGATTTGGCTTCATGCTGAAGTGGAATGGAAGCTGAAAATCGTGATTATGCTTCCAAAGAAAAATTCAGAAAATATTTTTGTTTCAAGTCAATTGGAACATTTGATTTTTGACAAAATTTTAATTTTCAGTTTTGACTTTTTTTAAATTCTGTAGTGTATAATATACCAAATTTCAGAAAAATGAACCAAGTCGGACTGTTTCATTTCTGAAAATATCAGAACGGGACGTTTCAACATGCTTGGAACTTTTCCCCGTTTTTCTTCCAAAACAAAATCTCAGGGAAAAAGAGCTGATTTTGCACAGTGTTTTGGTGTTGATGGATCTGCATATTCTGATAAAATAAGGTTCCATCGAAGTTTCTCCAACCAGCTCTAATCGTAACATGTCGTTATGAACTAAGGCCGGTCGTTTCCAATGCATTGGTAGAAGGTTGAAAGAATGACCGAAAGTGAAGCCAAGGCTATTGGAAATTAGAGCAAGAAGGAAAAACAAAATAACCCATCCCTGACTCAACCAAGTACTTAAACACGTGCCTAACTTTAAGTGTGTGTGTAATCCCATGGAGTCAAGGGGCTTAGTTCTCCATTGCCTTGCACCTTGTAGTCATTTACACCAATGCAAAATGAGTGCAAATGGGGTGTAAAACACTGCAAAGTCAGGCCCCAATCCAGCAAGGCTGCTGCTATTATTATTATTATTTATTATCATTTTATTTGTATAGCAATAGTGCCTAGGAGCCCCAATCATGGAACAGGACCCCACTGTGCAAGATGCTGTACGAACAGAGAATAAAAAGACAGTTCCTGCCCCAAATCGTTTCCCATCTAAGACAGGAGACAGCAGATGGTTACAGATGGATGGGAGAGTGCAAGGAAAAGATGACACCATATTAGTCAGCATGCTAGGTAGTGGTCCCAGCGCACCAGTGGCCTAACCTTTGTTAGGTTTTATTGTAGGTTGTATGACAAAGGAGAGTTTTAAAGAGGGATTTGAAGGAGGATTGGGAGGTGGCTTTGCAGATGTTTTGGGGGAACTGCTCTGAAGTGTGAGCGGGTAGCATGGGACAAAGCATGAAGGTGCTTGTTTGAAAATATAAATATAACAGGTGGGCAATGGAGGCTGGCATTGTTGGCTTAAAGTTAAGCACATGCTTAGGTACTTTGTTGGATCAGAGCCTTACAACAAAGAATCAGGCCCCGTGCAACTACTCACATGCTTAAAGTTATGCACGATCTTAAATGATTTGCTAGGTCAGCATCTTAGTGTTCAGAGAGAAACCTCAGCATCTTAGTATTCAGAGAGAAACCTAAATTCTTTTAGGGTCGTGGGCATAAGGTGAATTGCCGACAGTGAGAAACATTCTTCAGTCCTAAATTTAGTCATTTAGTGGTCTATTGATAGCTGCTCCTGTGGAAGTTTTTCTTTCTGCTCACATAAGAGCTGTTGGACTGAGCTTAGTGAACACTTTCTTAAGATGAGTTTTTATAGGAAACTTAACAATGGTCCCAAAATTGCATATTTACAAAAGGTGGACAAGAATGCAAATATTCCTGCCATAATGGTAAATGGTCTAGACTGAATAGCAGAATTAAAAGCCGTCTTGAACTGTCTTGGCCCCATGGCCTTCTGCTAAAGCCAGAAAGTAACAGTTTTATTTAATACAGTTAATAAAATGGAGAGCATGACTTAGAAGCAGATGTTAAGGTGCTTTAGATGAAAGACACATGTTGTTAGTTGTTGGATTTGCACAAGAAAATACAGGGTGGTGGTTGTTTTTTTTCAAGGAAAAGGAACGAATAAACGCAACATGATTCTTACTTAATATATTGTTAATAAACGATATCTGAAATTCATTCACTAGATGCTCCTGTTTCTTTTCTTTTCCCCCTTCTAGGATGTTTGATGAGAGAATTTTCACAGGTACGTTGATAACATTCTTTGATTTATTGTCTGTGAAGTGAAAGAGAACACACAGAAATAGAGTTAAAATGATGTAATCTATAAATAGCCATAAGTGAAGGGCATATGTAGTTGTGTTCACCAAGGATAAAACCTTATTTACATAATATACACAAGCAGAAGAAAATTCACTCCATGCATAGGACCTATGCACCACTTAAGTCTAAGTTTAGCCCTTCAAATAGGGCTGAAGTGAGACTTAAGTCGTGCATAGGCCATGAGCTGGCTTTGTGCACAAGGTAAATTTCACCCCTAGAAAGCCATGGAATATTTGAACTGTACTTACAAGGCAGAAGACACACACTGTGGATTCCCATTTATAAGTTATTCTCTCTCCCTTGCATATAAATACCCAACTACTTCAATTTAACTACTTGGCTTTGTCTTTTGCTCCTTTTTACTTGTACTGCGAACAATGTAATATGAAAGAGACGCCATTTCAAGCAACTTTTAGCAAATAAAACGAGGCATATATTAGTAAGATCTGAGCGCTCCTTTCAAAATACTATGAAAAGACACCCAAAAGATTGCTCCAGTGGCTTTTTCCTATCTTAACCTGATGTATATCTGAAAAGTTACTGTAAAAATGGCACCATCTGGTCATGTTTGTCTGCCAATGATTTCAGACCCAATGGGCTCTGTTTACAAGTAAAAACTTATTTTCTCTAACTAAGTGCTTTGCAAACTTAGGCTGGGATCTGAGAGTCAAGCTGGGTGCTTTTATCGCCAGTTATAAAGGTTCTACAAGCCACATTAACCCTTCAATGGCACCTGTACAACCTTGTTATGTTGCTGGTAAGCCCTCCCTAGCACCCACGAAACCCCTTTGCCTACAGTGGGGTTTGTGCAAGTGTAACTGACTGGAAATTAGGAAACAATTCCGTTGTTGTTGCACAGGATTGGAACACATTCCAGCTTACTCCCTCCTAGCTGTGTGGTCTCTGCAAGGCTAACAGAAGCAAAAAGTCAGCAGATCTGAATACACAAAAGAACTGGGTCTGCTGAGTAAGGAGGTGCCATTTTTACTTTACGCTTTGTCGAAGTGGAGCTGCACTTTAAGTTGCCATCTACAAAGTATCCCAAGGTTTCCACTGCAGTTTTGCTCAACATTTAATTAAAAACCCACCGCTCCTAGGAAACCTATTTTTGCGGCTCCCTGGGCAGCTTCATTGTTGCAAGAGCAAGATTTTGGTGCACGGGAAGGACCCAGTTGAACTGTGGGAAGCATCTTTAATGCTCCATGCTGCTTGGTGTTCCCATTGCGAAGCCTTGCCCTCCTTTACATGCTGGAGCCTAAAGGAAAAGGGACTTTACATTGCCATAGATTGTACACGCTTCAAAAGGAGGTAGCTGCAATGTGACTTAGAGCTGAGTAAAGTTCAAGTATTACAGATGATAATGAGACACCTGCCTGGTTTGTGCAGCTTGTCAGAATAATTCTGCTCCCTCCTTCCCCCCAGATCTAGCTAATCCTCCAGTCTCCATCCACCTGCTCTCTAGCACCTGATTTTCATTTCCTTTGCTGTCTTCGTAGTGCTCTTTTCATCTCTAAGATCATTGCTGGAGCTTGATTACTGAGGAGCAGGGGAAGGGCAAAGAGAAGGTTTTCATGGCAGCTAAATGCTTATTTTTCTCCTTGTCTCAATTTGTCACGCCCCTTCTCTCTCACGCACAAGGGGCAGATTTTATATGCTCAGGCCATGGTGCCGATCCCTCCCCCCCCCCGCCTCTTCTCTCACCACGTACAGATTAGAAAACACTTTGATTCAAAGTAGAATGTGATGCCTTTGGCCAAGTAGCAGCCTACAGGACACCACTGGCCTGTAGGTCAATTTGTGTGGCTCGTGGTTGCTCTGTGCCTTGCCTCCCTACAGGGCGCCCACTTGTATCTGTGCTAAGCTCTGAACTGGCCGTACTGTGTCAGATTGTTCAACGCAATGCACACTGGGCCCCTCCCAACCTGACTCCCGTGCTCAGGAATTCGGGCCACCTGAGGCTATGCAACAATAATATCAAACAATTCACCGGGAAGGGAAGAGGGTGGAACCCAGCATACCGGCACCTGGGAACTGAATTCATCTTCTAGGTACTTGCCCCCGGAGAAGTGAGGAATCCCGGTGAATTGAAAGAGGAGACATGGAGGACCAAAAACAATAGGAAGGCCTGGTAAAAGAAGATCCATCGAGAGAGGCATGTGTAAATGGCAGTCATCCTCAATGCAGTCCCCTGCCTCCCCGCCACCGGAACCCTCCTGCTCCCGGCCAACACTAGTGAAACTGCCTCCGTAACACATTTCCTGAGGATTTTTTCCCCTCAAGCCTTTCGCTGCATTCAGTAGTATTACCCTAACTAGCTATCCCTGTGCGAGGAGGTCTGGCTCAAATGCAAAGGTGCCCACCTCCCAGGAGGTCCTGCATCTCTTCTTGCTGGAAGGACCTTTCTCCTAGAATGGCGGGAAGGCAATTACCAAGCAGAATTTCCTGCGCTAGATCATACTAATGCTACAGTGTAACCGAGAGAAGGTGTCCCCGTATCTTTGGGTTGTCTGTACTGCAGTCACGGGGCGACTGCTGCTTGAGTAGACCTACCCGAGCTCACTTTAATCGGGCCCGCTCAGGTCCAGGAGCAGGAAGCCCAGCAGCACTTGCTTCAGTGCAGGCTGCCCCGTGAGTAATTACCCAGGGTTCCAGACAGGCTTGTTCAGCCCACACTGAAGTGCCCTCTGGTCCGGGACTGAAGCTAGCTTAAAGCTAGGGCGTTATGTCCAAGTCACACCCTCTGATTGCTGTATTGACAGACCCTTTATACGTAACCCAGGCACTCACTCTTCCTGCATCGCAAGCTGCTGACTAGCTTTGTAAATCCAGGAGAGGAACGACGTGTAGTCTAGTGAGCAGTGCTGCTAGCATTCAGATTCTTCTGTGGTTAATTCTGGTTGTGCTTTTCGTTACAAAACCTTGCTGCGGAACTGGGACCAGGAAGTAAATTTACCAAAGATCCTACCAAGCTGGAGCCCTCCAGCCCATCGGGGGAAATCTCTCCGGAACCACACAGAATGGCAGTGCTAGACCTGGCAGGGACTTCTCAGGCTAATAACAGGTATGTGGCTTTCGTCTCCACCTAAGCAGTTTCCTCCGTAATGACTAGAGGCTAGATTGTGACCCCCTCAGCCCATGTGCAGCCCCACTGGGGTCCACTTGAACCGCTGGTGGAGTGAGGTTCTGCTCACAATGAGGGTGAGAGTCTTGCTCTGTGGAAGCACTGATCATAGCCTCTCTGACATATACTGTGTCTTTCATTGGTTTCAAATGCTATGCAGCAAGGGAGCTGGAAACCTTCCCATTTCAAATGCGTAGGATTTTTTTTTTTAACCTGGTGCAGTAGGGTTGACGTTACTAGTAAAGCTGTAAGCGAGAAAAAGTCTAATCGGCCTTCATTTGTCAGGCTTTTAATGCACGAGGCTAGTGAGGGAGTCGCTGTTAGTCACAGCAATGCTGGGAAATCCAGGGGGGAGGAGAATGTTAAAACAAAAAGTGAAAAGTATGCACTCAGTTAGCCCAAGCTCTTCCGCGCATGCGTGTCTGTGTAAGATAAGAGAGATGGTTTAATATCACTTACCGTACACACTCAGGACCAGATGTGGGAGTCAAAGGAAGTGAGTTTTTTTTGCCTGAGTGAAAACTGAATAAGAACTTCAGGATTTACCCCAAATTTAGGTCCATGTCTGAGCCTTTCAGTGTGGTGTAGTGTCCAGTTTGTGCTGCCTGTCTGTTTAGATTGCAAACTCCTCAGGGCAGAGACTGTATTCTCTTTTGTCACTTGTGCAGTGCTGAGCACACTGTTGGCACTGGAAAGATTATTTCCAGAGACGCGGTTGCTACAAGTGGAAGATAGATATATTTTTTGTCATGCTGTGAGTTTGGCGCATGCTCTGCAATCCTCTGTTGGCAGCCGTCTGAAATCTGGAAAGCACATGAGTAAGGGGAGTGAGATGGAAGGCACCGAATGCTGTTGCTGGTAATGTGGTAACTGCAAGTGCTTTGTTTTAACACCATAATGAAAACCAAGGGGCTAATTTTTCACCTTTGATGGTGTGCCCACCCTTGCTGCCGTTAGCAAACCACTAGAGAAATCAGATCATCCCGATATTGTGAGCTGATACCAAAAAAAAGAGATAAAAACCACTGAGTTTGAACAAAAGGGGTCAGATCACGACTGTGTGCAAACAAGCTAAAAGATTTCCTTCCTGAATTATCTGAGATGCCTAAAGTAGGTCTAAAAATTCACCATCAGGCTGCAGTCTAACAGGTCACACTTGATAAGAAGGGTACATTCATAACTGATTGAAAGGTGTTTTGACAAATGTCTAATCAAATTCATAGAGGGCAGCAGATGATGGGACGCTAGATGAGGAGGACTCTGAGAATTCTTTCCCAGGTGTCTGGCTGTTGAGTATTGCCCACATACTCAGGATCCAACTGATTGCCATATTTGGGGTCGGGAAGGAAGTTTCCTCCCAAGTCAGATTGGCAGAGACCCTGGGGATTTTTTGCCTTCCTCTGCCTCATGGGGCCCGGGTCACTTGCAAGTTTAAACTAGTGTAAATGGTGGATTCTCTGTAACTTGAAGTCTTTAAATCATGATTTGAGGACTTGTAACTCAGCCAGAGGCCAGGAGTCTATTCCAGGAGTGGGCGGGCAAGCGTCTGTGGCCTGCAATGTGCAGGAGGTCAGCCTAGATGATCATGGTGGTTCATTGGTTCACGGAGGTTCATTCTGTCCTTGAAGGCTTGATAGATGGTTATAAACTATTGACCTCACAGACTTTAAGTGATGCATGTGTAACCACGTGTAACACACATGATGTATGCCTGTGATATTCTTATAACACCTATTGATTAGGTATTAACTCTGTATGAACGAAGTGTAAATGTAGTGGCATGTGACTACAGACGGCAAGGGGAGAGATGTTCTGGTGTGTGACCAGCTTAATGTTGCTGAGACGCCAGGTACATGGCGGTATGTGGCTGCAGCCCTCAGTGAAGAGCAGCGCTCTGGGTGCTGGTGTTACCCCAGAGGGGTGTGATTCCTTCCACAGCCCCCGGGGTGTGCCAGGGGATAGGGGCTATTCTGTGACACCCCGTTTGGGGGCTCAGCCGACTCCCACTTCCCTCCTCCCACATGCCCAACCAGCTTTGCCAGGTGAAATCCTGGTCCCAGTGAAGCCCAGGGCAAAACTCCCATGGTGCTCTGGGGCTAACCCCAGGCCTGTGGGAGCTGGGCTGGTGGACGCGGTGTTTCCATGCCAACACGTTCATACTTCACTACGCAGACCTCCTGACTTGGGTCTGCAGCTTGAGCTGCATCCGCACTGCAACATAAGGCTTGGACCCCAGTCTCAGCGGGACTGGGGCTCTGCTCTCCCCCCAGCAAGACTCTAGGACGGGGCAGGCAAACTTTTTGGCCTGAGGGCCACATCGGGTTTTGGAAATTGTATGGAGGGCCGGTTAGGGGAGGCTGTGCTGCCCCAAACAGCCAGGCATGGCCTGGCCCCCGCCCCCTGCGTCTCGCCCCCTGACGGCCCCCCCAGGACTCCTGCCCCATCTACACACACGCCCCCCTCCCTGTCCCCTGACCGCCCCTGGAACCCCTGCCCCTGACTGCCCCCCGCTCCCCCATCCAACCCCCCCTCCTTCCTGACTGTCCCCCCGGGACCCCTGCACTCATTCAACCCCCTGTTCCCTGCCCTCTGACCGCCCCGACCCCTATCCACACCCCCGCCTCCTGACCACCACCCCAAACTCCCCTGCCCTCTATCAAACCCCTCCTGCCCCCTTACCGCGCTACCTGGAGCACCGGTGGCTGGCGGCGCGGCTCCAGCCACCCCACTGCGCAGCACAGAGCACTGGGTCAGGCTGCAGCTCTGCAGCTGCGCTGCCCAGAGCGTTGCACCAGTGGTGCGGCGCGCTGAGGCTGTGGGGGAAGGGCCGGGGGCTAGCCTCCCGGGCCAGGAGCTCGGGGGCTGGGCAGGAGGGTCCCGCAGGCCGGGTGTGGCCCGGGTAGTTTGCCCACCTCTGCTCTAGGACCTGGCCCTGAGTGCTTGTTGACCCGAGTCAGACTGCTTTGTGTGTGCATGGAAGGGGCGCTTGGGGGTCAAACCTGAGCTTAGTGTGTGGTGTAGACGTACCCACTGAGGTTAATAACATTCTAGCCCTAAAGGCTTTGGGGCGTTTGGCACTGGTTGCAACATCCTGTTTAATTTTGTGATGGATAGTGAATCCCACAGGAAAAAGGTCTTTACAAAGATCCTGAGATGACTACGGCTGAGGGCAGGGACTGGCCCTGCCTGTGAATTGCTGTGTCACAAGTAATAACGATGATGCCCTGTACAGGACACATACGCTCGACTAGTGAGTGCTGCTTGGTGTACTTAGGGCATGCCGAGTTGATCCAGTTTAACTGAAGGTGGGATTTTAAAATCAAATTCACTTAAACTGGCCCCAAAGGCTGTTGTGTCCACATTCTTATTTTAGTTTAAACCAGGCTTATTTAAATACAAGAGCTAGGTGGTATTATATTTTATTTGCTGAAGTTGATTAGGAGCAGATGAAAGCTAAACCTAATTAAGATACTCTTAAAACAGAGAGAAGAGACACAGCCTTTTGCATTGTTTTTACTAAACTGTGTGATGTGACCCACCTGCTTCTATGTGTTACAGATTCATAAATAATATGAGTCTGTTACAGCCCGCAGCTACAGACTCTTGGCTTTTTAGCTTGGTCAATTGCAGTTCATGCTTTAGCCCGGCAGCCCCTGGTGCCTAGGTCAAGCTGACAGCCGTTGCATGCGGACGAGGCTGTATTTTCCAAGAATGGATAAACTTGTTGCTTTGGTGAGGGTCTAATGGGGAAATAAGTAAACATGTGGAACACGTGACTGAAAAGGCTGCTGTTGAATCAATTCCTCTTTGTCCAGAGCTTGCTGTCACATGCTGAGCGCTGAACTATCAGAGTATTTTAGCACAAGGAATGTATTGATCCAAAATTCTTAACACCTGACAGTCACATTCTCCGTATTCTTCGGCGCCGGAGACCAGGAGTAGATTTGTGTGATGATATTGACTTCAAGGCAACAGGCGCTGGGAAGCGGACAGAGCTTAGAGTGGAATTTGGCTCATGCTCTGTATCGTGCCATTTCGCATACTTTTGTGGGATGGATACTCTTGCACTAGTCTCAGCCAAGCAAGAAACTTGGAAAAAAGTCTCTGGAGCAAGAAGAAGTCTTCAAAAACTGTGAAAATTGTCAGGCCTTTGCTCTTCTTGTTCAAGTGCTAGAACTTGCAAAGGAGTCCACTTCTTTGACTGCCACCCCAGGTTTAAGAAATGTGGCTCAGGCAAAGGTTGCCTCTTACAAGCAGAATCCAACATCACAATGTCACAGCGCTTTGGCAAGTATTCATCAAGGTATATAGGCACATGCTGAACTTTAAGCCTGGGAGCGATCATGTTCCTCTTCAGCAAAACACTTAAACATATGCTTAAGAAGCGTTCTGCTGAATCAGGCCTCAGATGAACAATTGCAGCTGGGGAGTCTGTAATTTCAGTTGTGGTATTGGATTGCACAGTGTATGTATATTGCTAAAGGAAGTGATACACTGTATGAATTGATTATACTGGTATTAAGTTGTTGAAATTAAGAATTGATATATAAATATAGGGCTCACTCATTAAAGTCAATGAAAGGGTTTTATTGACGTCAGTGGGCACTGGATTGGGCCTTTCCTTATATTGGTATATTATTATATAGGTATATTGTATAGGTAGGTATATTGCATAGATGGAAAAGCTCTATTGTCTACTTGACTATGCATAGTCTTTGCTAAATGAGAGCATAACGGGTAGTGCAAATTAGGACCTGATCTTGCACCGCTGATGTTAATCAGGGTTTGGCTGTTCTGTCTAGATGGATGCTTACGCAGCTCTCGTTACGATAGTACCTGAAATTGTTACTGTTCATTTTCACAACAGCCCAGGGAGGCAGGATAGTGCCGCTATCCCCATTTTACAGATGGGGAACTGAGACACAGAGGCACTAAGTGATTTGACAGAGGTCACATAGGGAGTCTGTTACAGAGCCGCAATTGAACCCAGGTTTCTGGAGTCCCAAGCAAGTGCCTTAACTACAGAACTATACTTCAGTTAGCCAACCAGCCATTGACTTCAATGGGTGTGTGATCAGGCTTCAGCTGGTTAGGCCGGATCGCCAAAGCTGCTGAGCGCCCACTGCTCCTGTTGACTTCAGAAGGGGCTTTAAGTGCTCAGCACCCCTGAAAATCAACCTTTGTATGTCAATAGCGGAAAACATATCCCTTCCTCTTGCTGAATTTTTCTCTGCAATTAGTATACTTTATCCCCCCCCCCCCCCCCCCCCCCCCCCCCGCAATTATAAAAATACAGTTAAATCGACCTGAAGACAAACAGGCAGGCAGAACAGTGACAAGATAATAGGGATGTGGAGCTAATTTGCTAATCTGCCCCTAAGACATTTTGCTAAGAAAATCTACCACTGAGTATTCTATCCGACTGTGCAACAGTATCCGAGTCAGTAAACCGTCTGGAATTTGCCATTCTCCAACGTGCAAGCGAATCTGGGGGCTTGCAGTCCATGTTGAACACCTGCTAATATTGAATTGTCTTCACCTTCATCCCTACTGTACTCTGATTCTAGTAGTGTCAGTCAGGATTTACACATTTTGGTAAAATAGCTTTAGAGAATCTTGGAGAAAAATGATGTTTTTTCTGGAGCGGAGTTTGGTGATGGTTCTAAGTTGAATGTAATGATTGTGAGGGATACCAACCAGAGCAGGGTTTCGAGTTTTGAGTTTGTTTTCATTGCGGCGTAATCATGAGGCTATTTGTACTGAGCCTTATTCTGATCTGACTTCCTTTGGTTTTACCCGAATATAACTCCCAGATCTATTGAACCAGCTTCAGCACTCGGTTATACTGGTGAAACACTACCACAAGCTCAGTGGAGTCAGGGGGTCACTCTGGATTTACAGGGCTCTAACTGACTAGCCCATTGAGTTCAGCTGGGCTACTGCTGACTTACACGGGTCTAAGTGAGAACATAATCAAGCCATGTATGTTGAATTCACAGGCTATGTGAATTATAGCCCACTTGGGTTAATTCAGCATATTGTATAGGAAATCCTAAATTACAGTGGAGATGCAAAACTTGCCTTGATCATACATTCCACCCCCCCCCCCACAATGTTTTGGTAATGTATATTTTTAAATAAAATATAAATATTTTTTTTAATAGAAAAAATCCATATCTGTGTGTAGTGTGCGTACAGAGACTTGTGCTCCCCTGTTAGGAACATAGACTAGTCATCCAGTCTATGACATTTGGTAACCCCAGATGCTGTAGAGGAAGGTGCAAATGGACAATTATGGGATAATCTGCACCAGGGAAGGTTTCCTCCTAAGCGCCATTCGTTACAGGTTGCCGAACGCCCTGAAGCCCAGGGGTTTACGTCACTTCCAAAAACTCTTGTTTGCTTTTTCTAATATTTAGCATGTATTCGAATAGCTGTGGGTAGCCTTGCTCTCCATATAAATCCTTACATCCTTAGAGAGGGATTTTCAAAAGCATTCCTGGCTGGCTTCACTCTGTTCCCATGGAAGTCAATGGTGCCACTCTCGTTGTCTTCGGTGGGTGCAGATTCAGCCAAACGACGAGTCCTGGGCAGAAGACCTAGCACTCTCTCCCATCAGCTTAAAGCATCTTCACCAGAATCGCTAATGGGGAAAGCTGCGCTGATGCGAGTTTGCGGTGTAGACCTGAGTTTTGTTGTTAAAACTCAGTGAGGTTCTCCTCTTTCTTTACATCGATGTTACTTCATTGAGATCTGTGGATTTACTCCTGGTTTGCACTGATGTGACTGAGTGGGGACTCAGAACCCAGGGGGCTTGGTTACTAAAAAACCCAAGACAATGCATGCTTTAGCCTCCAGTAGGTCACTGGCCAGAAGATTGATCTCATTCATGGCAATGCTTGAAATGTTTGCAGGGTTTCAGATGTGAAGGATGGTACCTGAATCTTCCCAGAAGTTCAGATATATAATAGCACTGTTAAGGGGGGAAACTGAGCTTGATTTGAGACCCATCTATCTTAAGAACATTTTCAAACATTTCCTCTGCAGTAGCTGCACCTATGTAATTACCCCAGTGAAAACCTCTACTGCAGAAACGTGTCACGCTGGTAAGTTAAGTGGCATTGCCCATCCAAAACTCACGCAAGACAAACCGTCTGTGCCGCACCATGCCATCCTGGAGTGTGTCTCTCACTTCCTTATGAAATGTATTATAATGATCTGATTTGCTGACGAGTTGTATAAGCCTTAAAGAAGGGAATTTGCAATGGTTTACTGACACCAGAAACCCTGAGAGCTGTCATGAATTCTTTCAACTGGAGCCCGGGAGTGCTCTGCTGCTAGGATCGTCAGGGTGGGATCTTTATTTTTTCCTTATGCAGAGGAAGTATTGAAGTTGGAGCTAGTTTTTTCTCAGTCCCTTGAAAATGCCCCTCTTTTGTCTATTTACTGCACTGTATATAAGCATGTATTTTTTTAAGCTATCCATTGATAGGGTATGTCTACACTACAGGATTAATCCGAATTTAGATAATTCGAATTTGGGAAACAGGTTGTATAAATTCGATTGTGCGCGGCCACACTAAGCACCTTAATTCGGTTTTTAACCACATTAATTCGGTGGTGTGCGGCCACACTACCCCATTAACTTAAACACAGTAATTCGGTGGTATGCGGCCACACTAACCCTAATTCGAATTAACAAAATCGATTTAGGCGTTACTCCGCTCGTCAAGGTGGAGTACAGAAATCGATTTTAAGTGCCCTTTAATTCGAATTAACTGGCTCTGTAGTGTGGACGGGTGAAGGGTTAATTCGGATTAACGCAGCTAAATCCGAATTAAAGTCCTAGTGTAGACCAGGCCATAGTTCCTTTACCATGTCTCCTGTCTGCTTCTCCTTGTCAGGTCTGAGAAGAGTAGTGTTTCTGAAGACTGTGAACCAGGTGAGCAAGAAATAATTGCTGCTTTCTACTGAAAAAGTGTAATGGTGAGGGACAAAAGAAAAAGGCCTAGTACCTTCTAATAAATATCAGATTTCCCCGGGAAGCAGATAAACTCTCCAGTTCTTTGGCTGAGATGATGACATGCCACATGAAATGCATTTGCTGAGTGCACACTCTCCCAGCAATGTGCTGCAGTTATGGCTGTTGTAATGAAACCTTTCAATACAAATGACAAAAGTGTAGCAAACATTGCTGCCTATCACGGCTCCCCGTAGTGTATTATACTTTCCATTGTGTGGGGCTTGGAATCTCTGAATGCTTCTGTTGAATAGCTTATAGGAAGAGATATGTCATGGGGAAGACAGTGCCTTCTATATTGTGTATTTTGATGTGCAATAAACAATTCTGTGAATCTCTGTATGAGGGATGTTTTGTGTGTCTTGTGCGTACACACACACACACACACACACACACACACACACAGATGGGCGTATGCTCCCTCTTTAAAATGAGCCCATCTGAGTGGGAATGCATCATTATTTTAAAACAAATACAAAAGATAATTAACAAGAATACCTACCCAGGAGAGTAAGCTGAATAATGGTGGGAAAAAGCCTGAGAAAATAGACCAGACTCATTCTGTGCCCTGACGGCCTACAGACTGTGGCTCTCATATACTAGTGGGAAGCGTGAATTACAGTCAAGGATCCTTTCTAGCGAGCTTCCTTTAGACACATCTCTGAAACCTTTTTGACGTGAATTGATCGTCACAATACCCCTTGGAGGCAGATAAGTGAGTAAGTATTTTCCCCATTTCACAGACAGGGAAGCAGAGATACTCGTCCTATGGCCTTTTGGGCAGGCCTTGATGCAGCAGAACACTTTGACGATAATGGGACTTAAACACATGCTTAAATGTGCTGCTGAATTGGAGCCCTATTTACTGAGGCCTTCTCTACCAGAAGAAGTTGCCCTAGTTTGTTTCCAGTAGAATTTTAAACCAGAATAGTTAAACTGGTGCAACAGGCTATGAACACACTCTTATTGTGGTTTTAAACCAGGCTTACTTCAGTTTGGGCAGGTCTACACTACCCGCCTGAATCGGCGGGTAGAAATCAATCTCTCAGGGATCGAATTATCGCGTCTCGTCGGGACGCGACAATCGATCCCCGAATTGACGCTTCTACTCCACCAGCAGAGGTAGGAGTAAGCGCCGTCGACGGGGGAGCCGCGGAAGTCGATTTGCCGCCATCCTCACAGCGGGGTAAGTCGGCTCCGATACGTCGAATTCAGCTACGCTATTCGCGTAGCTGAATTTGCGTATCTTAAATCGACCCCCTCCCCCCGTAGTGAGGATGTAGCCTTTGGTTTAAATCGATTAGGAATCGGTTTAAGATGAAGTGAAATAAGCCATTCTTAAACTGAAATCAGAACATCTATATAGGGGTTTGATCATTTAACTAAATCAGTTTAGAAAGTGATTTAAATTAAACTGGTGCAGTTTTCTCATATAGACAAAGCCTTATCCTTTCTCTGCCTCAGTTTTCCTGTCTATACAATGGGGTTAGTGATGGTTACCTACATGTGCAATGTGCTTTGAGACCTATGGGTGAAATGCTAAGCATTGTTATTAGCCATAGGTTACTGTCTAGAATCTAACATGCGGGCAATGAGGATTTTTCCTTCCCGTGCACTGATAGTGGCCAGTTACTGTGTTTCATGCCTCCGATTTTTTTTCTCTTGCTAGGTACCTCAGCAGAACTGAGTGGGATCAGACATATCAAAATAGAGCCAGATGAGCTGGACATCATTCAAATCACCGTTCCAGGTAAAATCTAAAACTTTTGAATTGCTCAGAAATATCTAGGCAAAGAACATTGGCCTTAGATTGCACTGCGTGAAGGTTTTGCTTTGGGAAAGGCGGGTTGCAGGAAATTGGGATGTCTCCTCATCTCACTTTCTTTTAGGATGAATTTCGCCCCCAAATCCCTTTCGAAAGTCAAGTTCCAGCTGTGCATCAGAAGTTAGCTGATTTCTTGGGAAGGCCTTTGGGATAACACAGGGCTTTGTTTTTCCAAGGGCTTGTTCTGTGTCCGTTCATTTTATGCCTTTCACCCTGTCCCTGTCCCACCTCTGGCCAAGCAGGCTGGGAGCAGACTCTTCTGGAGCGGATGCTAACACTGCTCTTTGGTGATAAGCAAGAAGCACTGAGATGATAGGTGACCATTGCCTTCCTCTGTCCCTGTGCTCTCCACCCGAGCCCCAGTGAGTATCCCTGTCCCCATTTACAAAGGTGGAAACTGAGACACAGAAAGTTAAATTATTTGTCCCAGGTCACGTATCAAATCCATGGCAGGACTGAGATTAGAATCCAGATTTTCTGACTCCTAGCCCTGTGCAAAGAAAGCCATAGACCTTCTTGCTTTTAGAGGGAGCAAATTGGAAACAGTGGTTGCAGCCTATTGGAGAAGAATATGGAGTGGGTCTGGAAGGGATTTTAAAGTGACCTCACTTTAAATTGTCTCTGTCGATTTATTCTGGAGATGAACACCTATGGGGTGGATGCACCAGTGTGAAAAAAATGCTGTTAGGCTGATCTCTTTAAATTGTGGCCTCCGCGTTTCTATAGCACTGTGCATTGGCTCCTGAGGGTGTAATTGGATCATGAGCCTATTAAAAGCTGGTGTTCTATCGTCGCTTCTGTCTCTCATTAGCTGATATGCCCTGTAGGACCACTGGTGACGTCTCTGCAGCCTGCATCTGGCTAGGGCTTATCATTGTACAAGTGAATAAATAGTAGCTCCAAGCAACCAGTTGTAAGGCTACCAAGCTGCCAGTGAGCAATCAGTGATGCACATATGCTAGATAGTCTTGTTTCAATCACACACACACACACACACACACACACACACACACACACACAGTACTAAACGTAGCAGGGTCTAGAATTGTTCTCAGTCACACTGGTAGAGTGGAGCACACATTTGCTGCCCCCTGTCTTGGCATGACCCACCCTAAGAAGGTGTCCTGCTGGAGGGAAGAGCAATGACTTCAGATCTCCAGGGATTACCTAGAGTGGGTTCCCCAGGCAGAACCAGTGAGACGTAGTCCTCTGGAACTTAGTGGGGCTGGCAGCAGGCGGAGGTCAATGAGGGCCCATCAGGCCAGATAAAAAAGGCTGGCGGCTTTTCCAAGGGGCCAGTTCTGGATGAAGCCCGGGACAGGGAAGGCTCACTCTCCTTGTCCTAACCCAAGTAACCTGGCCTGACCAGACCTCTCCCCTTGATAGGATTTTCTCTGTGAAGATATAGTTATGGTCTTTACTGCCCAAGTGGCTATTTTGAGTTCAGATGTGGCTTCTTTTCTGTTAATGCCGGAAGGGGACTAGATGGAGAGCTGATCTGGCCAGAGGGCTAGGCCACAGAAGTGCCAGACCATTGTGGTGCTAGAAAGGAAGAACCCCTGAAAAGCTGTGTCCTGACACAAGGGGGCAATCTGGTACACGGCTGTAATTCCAGATTAACCCCTTTGGCTTTATGCGGGTTACCATGGATTTATATCTGTGGAACTGAGAGCAGAATGTGGTCTCCCATCTTTTCTTTAGCCCTGGTGTTTGGCTATCCCGGCCTCTTGAGTGTTGTTTTGGGGAACTTGTGCATGAGTGAATTAGATGGATCAGTTGGGTCAGGGGAAGGGGGCAGGTAGACAACGCAAGTTGGGTCAGGTGTGATCCAGCACAATAAGCATGTCGTTTTGGAGTAGACAGTGGAGAACGGGCTGAAAGGAGACATGCAGGATTGGACCCAGAGTGCATTCATGAGCCACTGACCTTTGGGGAGAGGATCACCCGGAAAAGCTGATGGGCTAACAGTCAGTGTTGGGATCCTCTACAGCAAAGTGGGTAAATAGTTTCTGAAGGCAAGACCACAAACATCACCTAATTTGTTTCCTGTCTGTTGTATAAGATTGGAAGATCTCAAACCTCAAATGTTTATATTCCTGACCAGGGCACCAGTTCAGGAAAGCATCCCTGTTCAGGAGGGGCGGCTAAGCACATGCTTGAATCCCATTGAAATCACTGGGACCTAAGCACTTGCCCAAGGCCCAGATCCTAGGCACCTAATGCAGATTAATTTCAGTGGGAGAGAGGCACCTAAATACCTTTGAGGATCTGGGCCCAAGTGCTTTCTTGCGTTGGGTCCTAGAGTTGTTGAGGAGCCAGTGGTCACAGGCCATAATGGGGACAGCAGCGTTGAAAATACTGGGTTTTGGAGAGTAAAGAGGAGAGATTACGAGTTTCCCTGAGGAAGGCTATTTCTTGGGCTGGTATTTATAGAGTTGTTACCTTAGCTAGGTAGTGCACCAAATGGTAGGAACATCTTAAGAGGTGATTAGTAAGGTGGATTTTCAATGTGTTTTACAAGCATTAACTACATAGTAACCTTGAGGGAATCAGAGCAAGAGCATGACTTTGAATGTGTCCAACTGGGAGGTGACGCTCTTGGTTGGAAATAATGCCCATGCTAGCTGTACTTCAGATGGTTCTGAATTAGAGCCACCTGTGTTAATCTGATGCAACTCCATTGAAGTTAATGGAGTCACTCTGGATTTTACACCAGTTTAATGAGAGCGGACTCTATCCCATAGTTAATAGAGAGGAAGGAAAAAGGATCCGGGTATATTGCTAGAGCAAACATTTTCAGCTTGCCATGTAACAGGAGGAGAAGAAGGCTAATGGCTGGCATTAATAGGTGTATTTTATATAAATTTAAGGAAACTGAGTTATCCTAGTTTTTGAGCCCTGATTAGATGACACTTGGAGTTCAGAGTCCACATAAGGTAATAAAAATGGAAGGCCAGTATAGTTAAATTAGAGGGAGTACAGTTTAGGGCAAGGAAGATGATGAATAAAACGGTGGAGGAAACATTGATGAAATTTGGATTATTTATCCTTAGAGGAGGTGATTAAGTAGTGACCTGATTGAAGTATTTAAAGTAGCTAAAGGTTTATTTTAAAATTAAATTTGGAGATCTCTTTGAGGGCATTGGAGAGGCCAACACTAGAGGAGACAGGCTTAAATTAAGAGGGCATACGTCTAAGAAAAATTAATGCTGCTTGACTCCACCGCCCGCTCCTCAGGTAGACCATTCCACCAACTCGCTGCCTCACTCCATAAAAGAATGCCTCCTTAAATTTTTAAGCCAGAATTGGACGTCTAGATATTAAGTCATCATGAAGCCATTTTTGGTCTTCACCCTTTGTGAGGCTTATGAGGAAACTTTTGCAGATGATGCTATTTTCCCCAATTTGGGAAGGTGGAGTGGGTTTTATAGATGTTTCTGATGTCCTCTTACAAGTGTTAAAGTGTATAGGAGAAAGATAGCAGAGGTGTCATCAAAACATTCCAGACACTGTGGCCCAGATCCTCAAAGATATTTAGGCGCTTAACTCCCATTTCAATGGGAATTAGATGCCTAAATACTTTTGAGGTTGTGGACCAGTGTGAGTAGTTCTGCTTCTGGTCCTACGTGCCCTTGTGACTGTGTAAGTGCATCCTTTATCAAAGCAACATGCAGAGGCTCATGTTGGGTAGGTTAGTTTTTCATGAATTCTTGTGGATGGACCATAAAGCTCTGAAGTCTGCTTCCAGGGACAGTGACTGGGCTGTCAGAACTGTCTTTGGTGCTTTGTTCACAGACCGATCCCCCGGTTCCGATGAAATGCATGACCCAGTGACCAGCCGCATGACTTCAGACGATTCCAACTACATGCTAGAAACAGTAACAGGTAATAAAAAAAAATAATAAACTGCTTGGAATTAGAAAGCTCGGAAATCCTACAAACCTCCAAAAAGAAATGGAGTACAAATTTCAGGCCAAGCTTTACAATAATAGGAGCCTAAAGTCAGGGTCCTAATTCCACAGTTTTACACATCAGTAAGTGTTCTGACCTTTCAAAATTGCCAAGCACCCAGCAACTCCTATTGACCAGTAAGATCTGCTGGGTGGTCATCACTACTGAAATTGGGTCACTCATTTAAGAGCACAAATATGGAAATAGGAGCCTAAGAGGCTTCTGTCACTAAAAGTCTTGGCCTAAACATGTAGCCTTGTTGCTCTGAAGCCGCCTTAACTGTGTCCAATAGAAAACACGTTTGATAATCCAGAGGCGAAGTGTGTCAAATATTTGTTTATTTCCCCCCCCCCCCATGGCATATTTAAATATTGTCATTGTTATTATTTATATTACAATAATGCCAAGACTGGGATCCCACTGTACTAAGTGCTGCACAGAGTAAGGGACAGTTCCTGCCCCGTGGACTCGTCATCTAAAAATAGATGTAAGCTCTTTGGGGCAGGGAGTATGTTTTTTGTGGTGTTTGTACAGCGCCTAGCACCACGGGGCTCCGAGGTGCTGCAATAATAAATAACCATAATAACGAAATAGGCAACAGGTGGAGAGGAATCGGAGGGACAGAGGGGAAGTGACTTTGTTCAAGGACATTCCACGGGGCGAAATGGATGTAAGATCCCATGCCATAAGCCCCATTAGGTGGAGAAGACATGCTGCTGGGAGGGAAGGCCCCTTGGTTTTCATGGCACATGTGGCTGGCAATTTGCAGAAGCCAGAAGGAATCGTAATGAGCACTGTGTGAAAGGCAAAATAAGATGGGAAAACAGTCGAATAAAAAGCACAGTCAGCAAGGGCCTTTCCTTGAGGGTTAATGTTTGTAACATGAAAGCAGAATCATTGAATGTAATCGAGAGAGACTAACGAGAAAAGGTTGTGGCCCGGATTCAACCTAGACCTCTTCTGACCTTCCCCAAAGGCAGCTCTCTACAGCCTAAGTAGCCCCTCTTATAGCCTTTGCTCTGGGGACCTGTGAAAGGAGATGTGTATCTGAGCCTAGATAAACCCCTTGCTCGCTGGGGACCAGACAGTGCCCTTACAGACTGTCAGAAAGATGGACCAGAAGGCATGTCCTGTGTCACTCAGCTTTGTGCTCTGTTGACTGAAGTGGGGGTGGGGGGGGCAGTCCCCAAACTTCTCTGCTTTGTGAGTTCTGTTCTCCGGGAAATGCTGGCTATACACTGGACTGTTTTTCCCAGCATAGGAGGAATATACTCCATTTAGCTAGCTAGCGCATCTGGCTGTATCTTCATCCCTCATTCTAGCCTCAAGCAAATTCTCATGCCTGCTCCTTGAGGTGTCTTGGGGAACGTTGACTGATTTATGCAAGAGAAACTGCTAAACCTTTGCTTTCCTTCCAGTTTCAGATAAAGAGCCCAGCCAGGACTTAAGACACGAAGAAAAGCCGATGGAAGGTAAGAGTGAATTTGTAATAAAAGCAGGCCAGCTTATCCTCTGAGAATCTCAGGTTTGTTTAAAGCCTGATTAAAACAGCTGTATTTTATTTTATTATTTATTATGATTTGTATGATCAAAGGGCCCAGTCAGGGACCAGGACCCTATTTTGCTAGTGCTGTACAAACACAGAACAAAAAGACAGTCTGCCCCAGCGAGCTCCCAATCTGAGTATAAAACAAGAGAAAACAGATGGCTGTAGACAGACTGCATTGGGTGGACCTTCTAAATTCTTGGCAAGGTAATTAGCTTCCCAGCCACACTGTTTAGAAGCGCATCTCCGTATTTCAATGACTAGATCGTCAGATCTATCCTGATTGGTTGTATATCAACGTCACTCCATTGACGTTAGTGAAATCACTTCAGTTTGTACCAGCTGAGAATTGATCCCAGCAAATTTACTTGCCATAGGCGCCAACTTTCTCTGGTGTCGGTGGGTGCCTGCCCCTCCCGCCCCTGGCCCCGCCCCCATTCCAACCCCGCCCCCAAAGTCCCCACCCTAACTCCGCCCCCTCCCTGCCCCTATTGGATCCCTTTTCCAAATCCCCGGCCCCGCCTCTTCCCCCAGCGCGCCGCGTTCCCCCTCCTCCCCCCTCCCTCCCTGCCCCGTGAATCAGCTGTTTTGCGGCGCAAGCGCTGGGAGGGACGGGGGAGAAGCAGGACACAGCGGCGCACTCGCGGAGGAGGTGGAGGTAAGCTGGAGCAGGGGGGCAGGGCGGGGCCACGGGGAGCTGCTGGTGGGTGCTGAGCACCCATCAATATTTTTCCGTGGGTGCTCCAGCCCCGGAGCACCCACGGACTCAGTGCCTATGGTATCAGCTGCAGGTTTCGGGGTTATTTTTTAAGTATAAATTGCAGTGATGCACTGTCTGATTAAATCCTTTACTATTGGTAGTCTGTCCAAGTCATGTCACTAAGAGCTTGATTGTGTGCTCACTGAGGTTAGTAGCAAAGCTCCCGTTGACTTAAATGATGCAGGAGCAAGCCCTGAATTAGCAGAGGCTGTACAGCTCCCCAGGGTGAGAAATATTGGCCATCCCAGTCAGCTGTTCATCTGGCCACAGAGTAGCGTGGAGGTTAGTAGTGAAGGCGGGGAATGCCTTCCTAACTGCCGCTGGACCAGAGACTAAATGAACAACAAAAATAGAAACAATTCTTCAGGGTTTGGAGCACAACTTCTCAGTGTTGTTTCAGTGTTGTGTCATAGGCCTGTTTATCTCTAAGTGGTCCAAACATGAAGTCTTCAGGCTTGGAAAATGAGTCATGTGTTGTGTTGGAGTGAAGGGAGAGAGATTGAAAACGGAGAGATTACAGAACAATGTGAGAGTGGTGTGAACTTTGATTCAGGTCACATGTGCCTTGTATCGAAGGTCACCCCTTTTTATTTTCCTGAAAATGGCGGTGTTAATTCTTGAGGACTGGATAATTATCCATACAGTTTATTCTAGTCTATATAATAATATTATTTGTCGGAGAGGCATTATGGTCTAGTAGGTACAGCACCGATGAGTGAGTCAGGAGACCTGTGTTCTAGTCCCGGATCGGCCCTGACCTACTGTGTAACCTTGGGCAAACCACTTCCCCTCCGTGCCTCTGCTTCTCCTCCCACCTTTTGTCGGTCTTGGCTATTTAGATTGTAAACATTCTGGGACAGAGATTGTGTCTGCTCTGTGTATGTACAGCACCAGCACAATGGTGCCCTGATCTCAGTTGGGACCTGTAGTACAAACTAGAATAATAAATATATGGCACTGCATCTTTTTGAATGGGTTCATTTTGATCCCATTGTTCCTTTCTAATTATCTCCAAAACTGATGTTTTCCTGCATAAGAACAGCCATACTGGGTCAGACCAATGGTCCGTCTAGCCCAGTATCCTATCTTTTGACAGTGGCCTGTGACAGATGCTTCGGAGGGAATGAACAGAATAGGACAATTTCGAGTGATCCATCCCCTGTCGTCCAGTCACTGCTTCTGGAAGTTGGAGGTTTAGGGGCACCTGGAGCATAGGGTTGCATCCCTGGCCATCTTGGCTAATAGCCACTGATGGATCTATCCTCCATGAGCTTATCTAATTCTTTTTTGAACCCAGTTGTACTTTTCATCCCATGGGAATGAGTGCCATAGGTTGACTGTGTGGACTATATGGCTAAAAATTAAAGGACAGAGACCGTCTTTTAACCTCTCTTAAATAGTTACATTGTTGGTAAATTGACTTTTATCTGAATTTTTAATTTTTAACCTGATACTGTGTGGATGAGACATTTTTAAACAAACAATTACCCGTGTTTGTGCCTGAGCTTATGGTGCTTTTGTTCTGCCGCCATTAGTCAGCAAGAGGAACTCAGCTGAACCAAAAGTATTGGGCTGAGTGGATAATAACAGCAAGAAATCCTGTTGCCATAAATATGACGAGATCGACCAGTAGCATGTACGGAAAGAAACAAGCCATTTTAAAACAACAACATACTTGTGAAAATAAAGAGCCGATATGAATGAAAATCATGACACTTTCCACTGGGTGTGACACAGGGAGATGAAAGGATATCAATATATAGATAAATAAATAAAACCGCACGGGAGAAATAAATTATATCACCATCAAGAATGAGACAGGTGCAAAACAACGTAATTGAGGAATCCTTCCTACCCCTCTGTGATTCCATTCACATCATGCAGTGCACGCTATGATCTGACACAGTACTGCCGCCTCTGAAAAACACCTGGCCCGTCAACCTATAGCACCGAGTCTCCGATGTTGCCCTAGGGCTGAAGGAGACTAGGAAAACCCATCTTGCCTGGGAGCTGAGATCAGCTTCACTGGTCACAAGAGCCACTTGATCTTTTGTCAGCTGTGGGGCTTGCCAGTGACTCTTCATGATGTCGCTCCCCCATTCCTGGTGCGGATGGAGTTTGGTGGCAGCTGCTGCAAGGAATGGCACTGGCTTTAAAGGAGCAGAGGTTTTAAGAGGGCCTCTCCAGGTCAGTGGAGAATAGGGCTGACCCGACAGCTTTATTGTACGTCCCTGGGGTTAGAGGTGGTTTATTTGTCAGTGTGTTTCTCTTGTTTTCCAGATGGCCTAGGTGACGTTTTAAGTCATTTGAGGAAACAAGTTGAAACTTTGTTCAACACGCGATACGGTAAGATGTTCATTAGCCATCATTCTTAATGCTGAGCGCCGGTCTCTGCCTTAGGGAGCTAAGAATTTAGCTAATTGTTCAGAGCTGTCACCTACTGTTTCCAAACCGGTTGTTGCCTGAACGTGAAGTCTAATTTGTTCATTTGCTATCTGCTGGGCTTACAAATGCATTGGGATTCTCACTGGACCTTGCTATTGCAACTCTTCCTCTTGTGTTCCTGAAAAAAAACCTCTCTAGCTGGCTACTACCTGCCCATGAATTGCCTCAGTGACCCACAAACTTTCTACCACCGTGGAAAAGGGCTGGAGTATTTTCCTTTTCTGTTGTTTGAAAATGTCAGGAAGCCGTTTCAATCAGATTGCTCTGGAGCGTGCCAAGGTATTGGGGGGGGGGGGGGGGAGATTGTAAAAGGTCATCAGTGGAGTACAGCAGGGTGGTCCAGTGAATAGAGCACTGGACAGAGAGCCAGGAAACCTGGATTCCATTCTTACACCGTGTATCCTTGAGAAACTCATTTGAGTCCAGATTTTCAAAAGTGCTTCCCACTTCTCCTGGGAAAATGC